CCCTATTAGGCTGAAAGAAGCAAAAATGAGCACAAGAGTGGAATTTTTCTGAAAAAATATTAAATTAGCAAAAAAAAAAAGCAGCTAAAATGTAGCTAAAAAGGCAGAAAGAAGCTGAAATCACCAGAAGGAAGTGAAGAGAGCACATTTTTGCTGAATTAGGCTGAAAAAAATTGAAATTAGTGCAAAAAAATGTGGAATTACCTGAAAAAGCTAAAATGACCACAAAACAGCTAAATAGTAGCTGAAATAAATGAAACTATCAGAAATAAGCTGAAAGGAGTATAACAAGCTGAAATTAGAAGATAGAAGTTCATTAGGCTGAAAATAGCAGAGGTTACCATGAAACATTTGGATTGATCTGAAAACAGCTAAAATTAACTAAAAAGGTGGAACAAGCTTAAATTAGCAAAAGAAAGCAGCGAGAACATGTTCGCACAATTAGGCTGAAAGAAGCAAAAATTAGCACAAAAAAGTGAAAATTTTCTGAAAAGTTTTATTTTAATTAGCAACAACAACAAAAAACAGTTAAAATTAACTAAAAAGGTGGAACAAGCTTAAATTAGCAAAAGAAAGCAGAGAGAACATGTTTGCTCAATTAGGCTGAAAGAAGCAAAAATTAGCACAAAAAAGTGAAAATTTTCTGAAAAGTTTTATTTTAATTAGCAACAACAACAAAAAACAGCTAAAATGCAGAAAGAAGCTGAAATTACAAGGAAGTAGGGAGAGCACTTTTTTTCTGAATTAGTCTGAAAAAGTTTAAATGAATGCAAAAAAGGTGGAATTAGCTGAAAAAGTTTAAATTAACATAAAAACTGCTAAATAGTAGCTGAAATAGTAGAAAATGATGAAACTAGCAGAAATAATCTAAAAGGAGCATAATAAACTGAAATTAGCAGAAAGAAGTTAGAAGAAGAACAAAAATATTGCAGAAACAAGTGGAAAGGAGCACAAATCAGCAGAAAAAACAGCTGAAATTAACTGACAGTAGCTGAAAAAAAGTTTAAATTTGCACAAGGAAGCTGAAAGAAGCTGAACCAGAACAAAATGTGAAAGGAGCAGTAAAAGGTTGTAAACAGATCTAA